ATGCAATGTTTATTACATTTAGAGTGAGGATCTACAGAGGTGTGGGCTTCAGAAGCCAATCCCAGCTAATTAATCCGGCCCATTAGCCCAAAACCCGCGTGAACCCTTACAGTGCTCGTAAGACAATAAACTCATTGTGTGATGGAGTCGGTGCTTTCTTCAGAGCCTGGATTCATTCCTTGACATTAATGAACTCAATGCTGGATAGACAAGCTGCTCCCTTATCGTAAGACATTAGAGAGGAAGACAGTCCTACTTGGTGCCAAACATGGGCTAAAACCAGAATGTCCATCACTCATACATCAGTGACTCTGGAGTGTCAGGCCCCCAAAATCAGAAGGACGTGGACCTGTTGGAGTGGGGCCCTGGAGATGCTGGGAGGGCTGAGAGAGTTGGGGGGGTTCAGCCTGGAGAAGAGAAGGCTCCGGGGAGACCTTGGAGCCCTTTCCAGTCCCTCAAGGGGCTCCAGGAGAGATGGGGAGGGACTCTGGATGAGGGAGGGGAGCCATAGGAGGAGGGAGAAGGGTTTGACCCTGAAAGAGGGGAGATGGAGCTGAGATGTGGGGAAGAACTTCTTTGGTGGGAGGGTGGTGAGAGCCTGGCCCAGGTTGCCCCGAGAAGCTGTGGCTGCCCCATCCCTGGAGGGGTTGAAGGGCAGGTTGGAGGGGGCTTGGAGCAACCTGGTGTGGTGGGAGGTGTCCCTGCCCAGGTCAGGGGGTGGCACTGGATGGTCTTTAAGGTCCCTTCCAACCCAAACCATTCTGTGATTCTCTAAATCTCATATTGATTTATGTTTTTCCTCCTGCAAAAATTTTTAAACCTTCAAGTAAGTATTAGGCAGTGTCATTTTTAGGAATTAAAATAGAAATGATTCAGAAACTGCTGCGAACAGACACATCCATCATCTCCTGTTAAATGTCTTGGCGTTGTGTGTCTCAGCCCTGAGCTCCACTCTCTGCCCCGATCCCTGCTGGCACGGAGCATCACCGGGAGCGAGCACACAAGCCAAGAACTGAATCAGATGTTATGACAGATTATATGAAAGAAAGAGCTTTGTTTTCCATCTATTGTGTTTCCATGTGAGCAATCTTTATCTTCGTTTACAATTGAACTTCTTCCAAGACTAAATGTACAGAATTTTGTTGCATAAATGGCTGCGGTGAGTGGCACGGAGGAGGCAGCGAAGGACACGGTGGCAGAGGAGCTCAGTTTTGTTCTTGGCTCTGTCTTTGGTTTGCTGACAGGCAAATTCTCAGCCCCACTCCCACCTTCTAGCTGGTGAAAAAGGTGTCTTCCATGGAAAAGGCCTTGAGGTGACAAAATTCCATCCTATGTATTTAATTACTGAGGTGTTAATGACCTGCTTGGATTTTTTTCACTCTAGTTTGGATTTTTTTCACTCTAGTTTGGATTTTTTTCACTCTAGTCACCTGCTTTTTAGCCTCTCAGAGGCCACAGGAGCTGAAAGGTCCCATCCTGGGTCGGAGCTGTGTTGCTTTAGTCCCTGCACAAACAGCCCTTGCCTCAAAGAGCTCTGGTCTCCAAGGGCGAGCAGGGGCAGGACTTCATCTTCTCATTTTCCAGCTCATAAAATGACTTGTCTGAGGTCACATCTCTCAGTAGCTCAGACACGAGTTCCATGGCAATAATGAAACAAAAAAGGAAAGGACTTCAGAACCTGGAGCAAAAAAGATGCTTATAAAATTAATTTTCAACAACTTAAATGTTCTTGAATATGTTTTATTGGTCTCTGAATCAGAAAAAAATGTAATAGTATGAGTTTTGTTTAAACAATGTCATCAGTATTTTCCTTCCTTTTTATTTGCATGGAACTGAGTGGTGGTAAAATTGCCCAGTTTGCCATAGTTTCTCCAGTCAAGGCTGTCCCCTGAAACAGCTTTTGGGGGTTTGGGAAAAGGAAAGGACTTCAGAACCTGGAGCAAAAAAGATGCTTATAAAATTAATTTTCAACAACTTAAATGTTCTTGAATATGTTTTATTGGTCTCTGAATCAGAAAAAAATGTAATAGTATGAGTTTTGTTTAAACAATGTCATCAGTATTTTCCTTCCTTTTTATTTGCATGGAACTGAGTGGTGGTAAAATTGCCCAGTTTGCCATAGTTTCTCCAGTCAAGGCTGTGTCCTGAAACAGCTTTTGGGGTTTGGGTCTCATGTAGGGTCATTTCACTGGAAATTGAAATGGATCCCTTGTGTCTTCCTGAAAATGCAACATTATCTTTAAGAGAAGTAGTTTCAGGCAAGGAGAGGACACCCCATTTTGGGAGGACATTCTCTGGAGGCTTTCGCTTTGATCAGGAAGGTTCTTTTTTGAATTGTTGCTGTGGTGGTTACCTCACTTCTAGAAGCATCACAAGAACTAAATTTGGGAGGAGAAAGGGGATTGTTGGTATTTTTTCATTCAGTCTTTACTGGAGGTACCTCATCAATAATGTTTCTTCCAGTCATTTGACATGATTTATTTATTTTTTTTTTTAATTCTCATGATGGGATTTAGGACCCAAAAGAGGGAGAGTAATGCAGAAGCCAGGTCTGAGAAGAGGGAGGTGCAAATCCATTGCTGGGCTTCATTATCCTACAAATATTGTCTACAAATCCACTCCTTAATCTCATGGGTTGCCTGAGATACCTATTTTATTTTCTTTTTTACACTGACAAGGAGTGTCCACCTTCCCTCCACACGTTGGCAGAGTGACCCTGATCTCAGACATACTCAAACCTGGCTTTTAAGCGAAAACAAGCGAGAGATTCCCTAAAACTGCTGAGAAAGGGTTGAAAGGGAGGTGTGTTTATCCACCGTTCAGGGATGTTGTCGAGATCCTGATCCTTTTGACTCCAGTTTGGAGAAGGGGAGGGAACAAGCCCCCGGTGCTGCCCGCGGGACTCGGGCGGTTAATGTTGTGTGTATTATTGCTGGAAAGCCGGGACCTCAATCTCTCAACTCTCCACAACACAAACACTCCTTGGCTTTTATAGAATCATAAAGAGCCGCCTTAAAGGCCGAGGACAAATTGGAGCCCTGATACGAATTGGTGGAGATATTACTGACTCCAAAGGGAGTGAGTGTTTCTTGCGCCGGGGTGGAATTTGCTCCACAAGTGAACACGGTTGTCCCATCAAATTCTCCCGAGCAGCTTGTCTCCTGCCTTCCTGCCATCCAGCTGTCACGGAAAATGGCGTTTTCAGCTGAATTCCAGCCTAGTTGGAAGAGTTTTGGAAGCTCTCCAGCCTTCTGCGGAGAAGCAGGGGGGGAGGAATCCAGCCGCTGAGGAGATCTGAATGCAGGAGGAACTCTAACCCTGCAAAACTTGTAATTAGTCTTAATGCCTTTTGCTTTTTTCCTACCTTTTTGAATGAGGCGCACCGTGCGATGGAAATCTGTGATAAATTAGCTCTGTATCCTTCACTTCGAGTTCGGCGTGGAAAATAAAAAGGCATTTGTCACAGGATTGAATCATGTGTAGGATATTTCCAGCTATAATGAGCTCAGGTTTTCTGGTGGTGGTGGAACAAACTCTTGCCTGTATCTCCTGCAGCGTGTGGGGTTTTTTTCCCCTAAGAACATATTTTTTTCGACTTGATCAGCTCATCTCTTGCAGATGATAAAATTATCTGCAAAGATTTGTATCTGATGTTGTGCCATAAATCATATTTAGTTGTAGGATTAACATTTGCAAGCGTAGAACATTTACGGAAAATAAAAAAGAAGGTGTAGGGCTGGCAGTTTCTGAGTATTTACATGAAGAGAGATGGGATTCAGGAAAGATCTTGCAGGCTTTTCAAATACCTGACCCTTTTTCCAAGGTGTGGATCTGCTCAGCTCCAGCGAGCATCAGTGGAGGCTCTTTGATAGCGTTTTCTCTTGGTGAGGTTTTTCCAAGGTGTGGATCTGCTCAGCTCCAGCGAGCATCAGTGGAGGCTCTTTGATAGCGTTTCTTTTGGTGAGGCTGTAAGATAAAGAACCCAGGAAACTGTGACCTTGGGCAAACTGCTTTGTGGCAGAAGAAACAAACCCATGTTCCAGCTGTGCTGAAAGCTCCCTGCGCTGGCAGCCGGGTTTTCCACGTGCTCAGGCCGGTCTGAGCTTTGTAGAAACGCTCAGTGCTGGAAGAAGAGCCAGTTTTTTCAAAGGTTTGTATTACCAGTAGCTTCCAGTTCAGCCTTCGTAGCCAGGTTGTCCAAAAGAGGTCAGAACTCAGCATGAGAGACCGTTTGACAATCGTGCCCACAAATCATCACCCTAAATAGAGAGTAGCTCCCTCTTGTCTGGCTCCAGCGAAGGGACTCAGCAGTTGGGTAGCTTTCAGCAGATGTATTGTCCATCCATGACAATTGTCCATCCACTGGTAACACAAATGTGAGCTGTTCAGTCAAGATCTCCATGTGCTACACGCAACCTAGAAGCACTGAAGGTTTCTCTTACCACAAGCACTGTGTGGAGTGGGACTCAGCAGTTGGGTAGCTTTCAGCAGATGTATTGTCCATCCATGACAATTGTCCATCCACTGGTAACACAAATGTGAGCTGTTCAGTCAAGATCTCCATGTGCTACACGCAACCTAGAAGCACTGAAGGTTTCTCTTACCAGAAGAACTGTGTGGAGTAGAGCCCTAGGAGGAGAGGGAAGGGTTTGACCCTGAAAGAGGGGAGATGGAGCTGAGATGTGGGGAAGAACTTGTTTGGTGTGAGGGTGGTGAGAGCCTGGCCCAGGTTGCCCCGAGAAGCTGTGGCTGCCCCATCCCTGGAGGGGTTGAAGGGCAGGTTGGAGGGGACTTGGAGCAACCTGGTGTGGTGGGAGGTGTTGATGGCACTGGATGGTCTTCAAGGTACCTTCCAACCTAAACCATTCTGTGATCCTATGAATGTAGATGTGCTGTGCACCCAGTGGGTTTGAGGCTGCTTTGTGATAGATGTTGTACAAATGCACTTCTGAGCCCGTTATTGACGTGTTTCTTTCTCTGGATCTCTCTCTCTGGTGCAGGTTCCTCACCACATGAAGACTTTACCCTACTACAGTTACGACCAACCGGTGATCGGCTACTGCCAAGCTCACAAGCCTCTCCATGTAAATAAGGGGTACGATACCATGTCCCGGGAGCAGGCGGAGACAACCAACCTGGAACTCAGTCGAGACCACAGCTTCATCGCCACCATCGCGCGTTCGGCGGCTCCTGCCATTTACATCGAGAGAATACCAAACTGAGGGTGGCCACGGCTTCTCCGGGGGCGGAGTGGGGAGTGCTTTTGAGAGGGACCTTTTCATCTCACAAGAGACCGAGGCAAGAAAACTTAAAAAATCTACCATTCCAGTTCCAAATGTCCCAACACAGACAAAGGGAAGGGGGATAAAAAAGCAAACTCCGCAGACTGTGGAAGCGCTCCCTCGCAGTACACACTGAGAACTTCAGGATTTTCTTTGCTTTAAACTTTCAAACAAATTCCTCAATGTAAATATTAAAAAAGAGAGATTGTCAAGTTCTTATTAAAAAAAAAAGAAAAAAATAGATTTCACTCTAGCTACATAAAGGGATGGATTAAGAGTTTTGTTTGTATATTTGATTTTTCTACATTGCACGGTTCCAGGGAAGGAGAACCACAGGTAAAAAATAAAAGGGATGGGGAGGGCAAGGGTTTGGGCGGGGTGGGTCAGCCATGTTTCCTTATTAAGTGTTTATTACTCTTCAAAGATTCGTTTAATATTTTTTGTTCTTTTTAAACGAACAAAAGATAGATATATATTTTCTTTTTTCTTTTTCTTTTTTTGTTGTTGGTTTTTTGGTTGTTTTGGTTTTTTTTTAAAGTGGTCAAGCGCTAATATTTCAAACTTCAGACATGGGCATTAAAGCTTATGTTGAACCAAAAGGACATTGGCAATTGATGCAGCAGAAACAAAGAAACTTGGGTGCATGTACATTTAAGACACAGGCTGTACACTACGGAGGGTGCTTTTGATTTTTACTATCTTCATTGTGCTTCATTGTTGACACTATAATTACTTTTCGGGCTCTAAAAAAAAGGGAAAACATGCAACAGAGTTAACGACTCTCATATTTACAGTCCAGCGGTGCTTGTTAAGCAAAATTAATGGACGTTTGGGAACCAAAATGGAAGTGATGTGCTTGAAACGGATCAGAAGGAAAAAATCTTTTAAAGCGAGAGCATTTGGTGCAACTCACTGGCTGACACAATTTCTAAAACACAGGAGAATGTGTAACATTGTTTTTTTGTTTTTTTAATTAATTATTATGATCAGTTAGTTTTTGTGTAGTTTTTATCAATAAAATGACGACAAAAAAAAAAAAAGTGGTGGAAAAAAAAAATAAACATATTATTTTGTGGTTGGGACACCACAGACAAGTTACTGTTTGAATGATTTCTCTGGCTGTGGGACACGGTGACTCCAGGGACTAAGGGACAAGGTTTTGTCCTGTTTCACCCCATCTCACCTCTCAGAAGGAGCTCGAGGAATTGTTTTGAGGTTTAAGAAGCCTGAGCCTGAAAAAGCTCAATTTATTTGGCTTGTCTAAGCAAAGGTGATTTTTTCAAAACAGCTACGAGGAATTGTTTTGAGGTTTAAGAAGCCTGAGCCTGAAAAAGCTCAATTTATTTGGCTTGTCTAAGAAAAGGTGATTTGTTCAAAACACCTATATGGGCCTGGGGGAGGGGAAGAGGGAGAGGAAACCTTCTTTTTCACTAAAATTTTTCTTTTTTTCTTCTGTCAGAAGGCAGGCTTTTCAGATGCAAACCGTGAGCTGAAGATAAACCAGTTCAGATTAGAACGGAAGGTATAAATTTTTAACAACAATAATACAACAAGGGGGTTTAGGATGTAATGAATTTCCCACTTATTTCGAGTACCTATATTGGGTGTTTTTACGAGAAATACACTTGGCCACAAAGTAAGGGCTTAATTTTGGGAAGCTCAGAGTCTTGTATCAGAGATGGGATATTCTATTTGCCTCTGTGTTTCTTGCCTGAAAACATTATGTGTTTTTCTCTGAAAGGAGGAATATGGATGTACACATCCTGTGCTAGGCAGCTTGCAGGGAAACGTGGACGTGCAAAGCCAACTTGATGCGTCGAAGGTAACGTATTTAGAATTAAGTGTTAGACAGGAAATGAAAAGAAAATGGAGTGAAAGGCTCGGGGATGAGTTTCCAGCCAGCTCTATTAGCCATCTCGATAGCTGTCAGCTTTAGCACGGCCACAGACAGAGGGAGAAAGCTGCTCCCAACACCGGTTTCCTTCAAATTGACTTTAAAACATTGACCCACAGCCTATTGAGCTGCAAATGGAAGAGCTGCCATTGATTCCTCTGGGCTCCCCATCAGCAGCGGGACGCGTTTCAATACGCATCAGAAGTGCAATGGCATTCCCAGGCTCCTGAAAGATGAGGGTGGGAATGTTTTTATTATCAGGTTCATTAAAGACAGTTGTATAATTCGGGCTCGGTTTTGAAGAGGGCGGTTACGTGTGTAACAAAACCAGGGAGGGAAATGTCAAGCGGGACCAGTTATTGTCTTTTTAGATGTTTTTTCCTTATGCCCCCAGCTGCTGGGCTCATGTGAATGTTGGAGAATAGCTGTTTATTTTTTTTTAATTCTATTTATAGTCTTCATCAATGCCGTTTCCCCCCACGCTCTGTGGAAAGCAACTTTGTGACTCCTGTAAAATTAAACAAACTCCCTTCTTTCATCTCTTGATTTGAAAATCACTTAAGTTCAGCAGCGTTTCCCCCCACGCTCTGTGGAAAGCAACTTTGTGACTCCTGTAAAATTAAACAAACTCCCTTCTTTCATCTCTTGATTTGCAAATCACTTAAGTTCAGCAGTGTTTTGAGGGATATTTGGAACTGGTGCTAGACTCAAATTACAGATTTCTTTGCAATTATTAGGAATTGTGCCTCCCAAGACCAAAATATACTACTGTGTGCAGGGTCTCCTGGATGAATTCATGCTTTTCTGGCTGAAATGTTGCTGGGTTTCTGCTGTTTATAGGCTGATGCCAATTTGGGCAAGAACCCTATAACTTTTCTTTGTCTTCTTGACAATTAAGGAGGTAATGTTCCAAGAATGCTCTGAAGACTCGAAGTTATACCTTGTTTAAGTGCTAAAGGTCACAAAGAGCTAAATATTTATGTCGGGGGTGCTTTAGGTCAAAGGAGGAGTCGCTGCAGCACGTACTGAGCTACCTGGAGTAGTGTTGGTTGTGGTGATCAACCAAAAAGGGCTGGAGACAACCTTGTCTGGGACTCCAGATGTAACAGAAACTGGCAATTAAACCACCATGGCAGCAATTAAAGCCAAGAAATTTGATTAAAAACTTGCTCTTGAACTGTAATGCAAAAAAAAAACCCCAGAACTGTAATACTTTTTTTCCAGTCTTTTGTTATTTCATATTTGCTTCTTGTTTTTAAAGTGTCAGTTCCTGGAATCACATAATTCTCTTACAGCTTAAAAATATGCCCAAGCTCTTCTTAGGGAAGGTCTTTCTGCTCCTCTTCATACGGTTCTTGTGAGGGAAGTGACTGCTCTCAAAGGGACGATGGAGCAACTCAACAGATGTCCAGGTAAGAGCCAAAAAATACAAATTAATGATTCACTAATGATTCCTCTCCCAATAAATGGTGCCTTAATGACAAGAACTCCTTGTGATGGCATCATTCTGGTCTTTGCATGGTGCCTGAGTGCCACTGAGCTCCCAAAGAAGGAGCCATCCTGCTGTGAGAGCTCGTGGTCATGTGGAATCCAGACAAACAAGGGGAAAAAAGAAATCAGTCTGACCTTCAGAGCGAAGCTGTTGAACTTTGCGCTGTGCAAAAGACAACAACTGATGTGACCAAATAACAGGTTCTGGAAGACTCTGGGAAAAATTGACTGCTGCCTGTCTCTCTAGCTAATAATTGTCTTGCAAATGTCAGTAGGGCACTGAAATTAGACTGTCCTGCTAACGCCGTGGGTAGGATCCGCAGCAGTGGAAAAAGAGCCCGTAAAAGCACAGAATGATTTCCAAGGCTGGCAGTATTTTTCTCTTGAGATTTAGAAATCTTTTGGAATAAGCTGCCCTTTTCCGTAATGAATTGGAAGCGTTCTGAAGATTGATAAACACAATTTTATCTTGACTTCCCGCTGGAAAATGTCCCTGAAGGAATTTGGCACGTTGTACACGGGAAATCGAGATATTTTTAAGCTGCATGAAGATTTAAGGGTCTAACGTACGACGTAGTGAAGGGAATTAATTTTTAGGTGGTTCCAGCAATCGGGCTCCTTCAAATGTCACTGGTCCCTTTTTTGAACCTGTATAAAGGAAAGGGGGGTTGATAAGGCTGTAGGTCCATCAAGCTGGAACCTTGCCCTAAATTAAGAAAAAGAAATTACTTTTCCATAAAAAGAAATGCCTTTTTCATAACATTAGTAGCAATAAAGAAGGCTCTGACAGACTTTGTTACATCTGGGCTCGTTAGAGGGCAAGAATTAAAATCTCTCCTGGCTCCCCAGAAAAGAGGGGGGAAGACAGATTTCAGGGACACCCAACATGTTCCCCAGTGCCCTGCGAGAGCTGAAAGTGTTGCTCTTGGTCACCATAGTCCTGCTCATCACTGGGAAGGTGAGATTTGATTATCCCTGCTGTAGCAAGTGTAATTATCAACGGCAAATGAGACTAAACCAGCCCTTTCCTTAAAAATCCAGCCAAACTAAGGCTGTACTGGTAAAAGAGTAAAACAGAAAGACTCAAGTAGGTTAAATGCAGAATAAGGAAATCCAAAACCACAGCAGTTTTGAGTCCTAAGTGGAGTAGCAGAAGCAAATGTTCCTTCATTCGTTTCTGGTGCAGTTACTTTGCTGGTACTTAATGCCCATTATTTGTTTTGATGCCCTGGTGGCTGGCGTTTTCATAATATGTGGGCGGGTTAAAGTAAATTAGTCTATGGAAGAGAATTATATCAGTCATTACTGGAGTCCAGGGATACATTACACCTTTGTCGTTGCTGTGCTGAGACATATCCTAGCACGGCAAAAATAAAACTCCATTTGAGGCCGGCGGATCAGGGGGTTGTCTCCCGCCAAGTGGCTGCCAGGCAGCCCTCCAGCGCTGGCTCAGCACTTCTGGGGTCTTCAGAGATGGATGGGAACATTATCTCCTCGCTTCCAAGGCATGATGAGCTTCAGTGGCTCTAAGATACATCACCCCAGGCCATTATTGAGGTGACTTTAAAAATTGAGTGAGAAATACATACGTAATTTCGTGTTTATTTTTGTTGTATGATTGAACTATAAGGTAAGACAAGTTTTCTAAATAGCTACAAATAAGCTGCTAGATGCATTCATGCTTCTTTTAGTAATTTTTGGATTTTTTTTTTTTTTTCTCTAGGAAGTGTCCAAAATTGGGCAGCAAAGGAAGAGAGTCGTTCCAAACACAGTAGCAGCTGAAATATTGTGCGTCCACAAGGCAGCCTTGAGTAGCTGAGGAGTTAGTGCTTCTCAGGGAGGTGCTGAGGGGACCGGCTGCCACCTGGCCAGGTAGATCTTATTCCTATTGCATTCCTGTGGACACGATGGAGGAAGGTCCTGTGGTTGGTGAAGCAATGGCCTTTAGGATGGCTCATGGCATTAGTGGCTGCAGGAGCTCCAGAGAGACCTGTTGCCCCAACAGTGGGGCTTTGCTAGTACTTTACGGTGTGAATATCACTTTTTTTTCTGCCCTCCTACATGTTAGTGTGTCTCGTGCTTCAGGATAGAGCCTGCATCTTATCACAGATTCCCAGCCTGGCAGGGGTTGGAAGGGACCTCTGGAGATCATCCAGTCCAACCCCCTGCCAGAGCAGGGCCACCCAGAGCAGGTCCCACAGGAACGTGTCCGGTGGGGGGGCTGAATGTCTCCAGAGAAGGAGACTCCACCACCTCCCTGGGCAGCCTCTGCCAGGGCTCTGCCACCCTCACAGCAAAGAAGTTCCTCCTCATGTTTAGGTGGAACTTCTTATGTTAAGAAGTTTGTGCCCATTCCCTCTTGTCCTGTCCCTGGGCACCACTGGAAAAAGACTGGCCCCATCCTCCTGACACCCACCCTTGAAGTATTTATAGGTGTTGATCGGATCCCCCCTCAGCCTTCTCTTCTCCAGACTAAAAAGCCCCAAGTCCCTCAGCCTTTCTTCATAAGGGAGATGCTCCAGGCCCCTCATCATCTTTGTAGCCTCTGCTGTCCCCTCTCCAGCAGTTCCCTGTCCTTCTGCAACTGGGGAGCCCAGAACTGGTCCCAGTGCTCCAGCTGGGGCCTCCCCAGGGCAGAGCAGAGGGGCAGGATGACCTCCCTCCACCTGCTGCTCACACTCTTCTTGAT